AAAAAGCAATAATCCATACAATTCAAAAGTACACATTCTGGTACCTGATTTTCCACTGTAGTATGATCTCTATAGCTCTACAGTGTAGTTTCATCTGTAAAAAGGTGATTAGTGATTCTTACTTTATACAACTGATAAGGAAACCAAAGGCAGAAACTGGCAAAGAGCTTTCAAAGCACCCTATGAAATGTTTTACTAGGAAATACAAATAAACTGGGGTAGAAAGAATTCCTTTTAGGATTCTTTTTACAATGATTAAGTAAAGGAGAGAGAGAGAGAGGCAGAGACAGAGACAGAGAGACAGAGACAGAGAGACAGAGAGAGACAGAGAGTTGCCTAAATTAAAAAAAAGTCCATCAAGAATGGAGGAAGGGATAATAATTCAATATTTTGATCCATGGTGTTTTGGGGGTATTGTTTATAGAACATGTGTCTTTTTTTCTCAAGAGACACAGGCTAAAGCTACAGTTCTACAATACTAAATAAAAGATGAAAGATTTCATGTTCTTGAAATTATGCTCATTGTGAAGTCAGGAGGAGGGGGAACATTTTATTATTTAAAAATTTAATCTTCTCCACTTAAGGCATTCCCCTCCACTTCCGCAACACTCAGTAGTGCTAAATGTTCACTGAATGCTAATGTTTATTTTTATTATTAACCACTGTGACACACTGTTCTTTATGGGGATTATGGCATGTAGTTTTAAGAGACTCAATGCTTGTTAAACTCACATTATAAACACACACACACACACACACACACACACACACACACAACACTGGCAGATCAGCAGAGAAAGACACCAGCAAAAGAAAGATAATTTGAGCTACTTCTGAGGTAGCAGTTGTAAAATTAAAATAGGCAACTCATTAAATTATCCATAGAGTGAAAAGAAAGCTACAAAAATAGATATTTTTCTGGCAAGTCAGTGCTGTTCAGAACAAATTTAGTTTTAAGCAGAGTTTTTGAGATCAGATGATATCAGTTCATCTTTGTCAGAATCTCTTACATGGTTAGACTAGTTTGCTCTAATTAAAAGCAAAAATTAGGTAGAAAAAATGTATTTGTAAAAAAAAAAAAAAACTATTCAGTAAGCCATCAGTTTAACTGACAGATTGTACCCACATGGGTGTTATCTGAGCAATTTGAGGCTTGGTCCTAAAATCACAGTAACGAAATAATAAAATAAAACCTTTTGTAAGTCATGCTTTAGTCTGGTTTGCCTCAATTCTATTTCCTGGCTTTTGTGGCTGATTATCTGCTTTGTGGTCATCCAGTCCCCAGTCTTCCCTCTCTCATTGCTTGGTGTCGGTACATTGTTTCTTATTAAAGTTTCCCCTAGAGGACAGGCCAGGAAAAGGAAAGACACTAAATCCACCAGCTATTCTTATTAAGAATTTAGAGACTCGGTGGGGGAAAGTCTGGCAAAGGGAAGCAGCAGCTTGTGCACCACGATTTTAGATCTTTTCAAAGCCTTCTTTCCAGTTTACACCCATAGATAACTGACAAATAATATTTTGCAAGTCAATTAATCACTTGCTTTAAAATGCTAATTTACTGTGTTGACCACACAGATTAGAAGATCTTTTTAATTAACAAGTACTCTAGTTCAATCAAGTACAAAATGACTGCAAAGAGGCTGTCACAGTAAATGCCTCCCATTTCTGGAGTGTCAGTTTGCAAAGCTGGTTCAGACATTCTCTTCCGTCCTCCAAAAATTGCTGTGTTGTGGGTCTTACTATCAATGACAGTGAAGAAGATACTGGCAAGATTCACATGTTTTCATCTTAACCAGCACGGATACATATCCCATTGAAGGGGTTAGACCAAGGTGAAATCTCATATATGGAAACATTAATATGCAAGACCAAGGACTATAAAAGTAGGCTAGGGTGCTTCTAAAATTATGTTTAAAATCTCTCTCTCTCTCTCTCTCCCTCTCTCCCCCTCCCCCTCCCCCCTCCCTCTCCCTCTCCTCTTGCCTATGATCTTGGATTCTGATTCTGAAAAGTGCAACTGAAATTTCTTGTCTTTATATTAAAAAGCTCTATGTTCCATGTTAATACATAAAAACAGTGAATACCAGGTACCCCATTCTTAAAGTGACAGTCGATTCCGTAACACTTTAGGCGAAACCATTTCCCCTTACTAGTCGAGGATGCCTGTGTGAGAGGATGACATGACATTTTTGAGGCTTATTTGAGTTGTTAAAAGAATCTGGAGATTAAAATAACTAGACTGTTAAGTATTTTCCCTCCTTGTCTCCCATAGACATGATAGCTACAATTTTTTCGGTTCAACTGTCAGATAAATTGACAAGTCGACTAAAAGGGTAATATTCCCTTAACGATGCATTCATCGGAAGCCCTAGCAACTGTATTAGGAAGCAGCAAGTATTCCTTAACAAGGCATGGCGCGGGAGAGGAAACTCTGCAATTTAGAGTGACAGATGATTATTTTCCCCCCCATCCATCAAGCCTCCTCAAAATGTCACAATATTTACACCTCTTCCTCGGTGAATTTGAATCCGGAGACAGGCAGACAGAAAGAGAGAAAGAGAGAGAAAAAAAACAAAACAAAACAAAAAACCCAAACTCCGACCGGTTGCCACTTGGTTGGGGAAAAGCAGGCGTTGCACCTTTAAATTCTGTTCCTCCATTCCCTGTCCCCGGCCCCCCTTCTCAGGATTTTGCAATAAATCTCCCAGTTCTGCGTTCAGCCCTGCAGATCCGTATTTAAAACAGCACCATCTGGGAAGGGTGGGTGGCGACGGTGATGCGGGCGCTTTGGAGTTCCTTTGCAGCACGCTTGGAATTGCATCAGACTGATCCGAAATCCCCCCGCCCCCGAAGCCAGGCCCCTCCCGCCACACGCCCCTCCCTGCCCCTCCCCTCCGCTCCCTTCACGTAGATCTCACTGAGAAAACGCCTGGATCCCGGCACAGTCTGTGCCCCATTCGATGCCGGCTTGCACCGCTAACCCCGACCTCAGCC